TTCATGTACTGCAGCACGAGGTATCGCGAGCATCAGCATTGGAGCATGGCGCTGCCCCGAAACCCAGACCCTAAACCTCAACCTAAAACTCTATGTGCAGGGACCCCAAACGTATGTAGAATAGTGGCCTTTTGTGGGTATTGGGCCATCATTTTACTTACTGTCGGGGGTTTACGTAGACCCCAAGCCAAAACTCTAAACCCTCGAGTGGGGTTCTCCAGCTGGTTTCTGTGCTTCTTCTGCTTCTTCGTCACCCTCCTCGTCCTTCTGCTGCGTATGTATGTAGCACACATATATACATATATATATATATATATACTTAGATATAGCTAGAGATAACATATATAGATATAGATAGTATTATAGCTTTTTGTAGGTGTGTGAGTACGCTCGATGTGCTGGCACAGAACCAATATACACATACATACTGAATAGGTACACTGACCCTCATGGCGGCCGAGCGGGCTTGTAGTACCGGGCTGAACCTGGAGGCAGTGCTGTTTAAAGGATCCAGCAAATAGTAACCCCCTACACGCACACAAAGCGGGCCTCCTACCTTTACTGTTATTTGGGGCTGGGACGGTTTATGTAGGGGTTACAGGGATTGAATTAAGATGAGGCCTCTGTTTCTTTGTTGGCTGATTTCACCGATCTGGGTTTGGAGTCTTTGCCCTGTCCAAGAAAACATTCCTGTTACAACTGGACCCCGGCGACCTCGGCTGCATGCGCACGGTTCGGCATGCTGGAATCATCCTACTATATGACTACCTGCGCCGCTTGATCGCCGATCCCCAACCCGACCTCTGCAAAACATGGTGGCGGGAGTGCCGAGCAGACCAGCGGCGGTGGTGAGGTGGGTAGGGGAACAGTTGGGAAAAGGACTTGCATAATCTGAAAAGTCTTCGTAGAAGCATGCAAGTGTTCAAAATCTGTTTGAATTGATTTCTCACTCCTCAAGGGCTCTCCAGAATTTTCATGTGCCGACCTTTCCCCGCAGCACTCACCCCGACAAGTTCCACACTTTGCCTTCCGCGACGTATAGTCAAAAAAATTCGGGTTAGTTCGCAATAACTTCGATTACTGTTCCGAAAATGTGGGCTGTGGTGGGGGGCTGATTGTTTATTTCCGGGGAAGTGCGGACTTGACGTAGGGAGTCGTGGGAAATTTGGAATTGACATTGGGGTGGAATGATAAGCAGATCCCAAATTCCTTCCCGAGCCCCGGCACAGTTTTTGAGTTCCGTCTGCGTTGCGTGAATGTGTATTTTGGGCACGGTGTTTTGCGAGTATGACTACGAATTGGGTAAACGTTACGGATACATGCTAACCATAAGCGAGACATCTTCGCCACGATCGTTAGCACTGATCCCATGCAGTCTGTGATTTCTTCTGGTTCGCGCATAGTTCTTTGCTGGATTCAGCTTAACTTTAGAACAGTGGACATGCTGCTGATTTTTGTATCCAACCATGCAGATGATAGACGTCATGATACGCCGTTTGGTTCTTAGCAAACGAGGCCGGAACTTTGCGTCGCAGCTTTGCGGCGCTTTGGTGTTGGGCCGAGCGCTTTCGGTGCTTACGTCAGGGTGCTCAGATGTCGCATACAGCTAGGTTTCCGGACTAACATGTGGGTTTCTGGGGTCGGAAAGGCGTATCCTGTTCACATAAACCCACACGGGGGCATCGAAACATTCAATGGTGATTGCGATAAGCACCGCGGGCGCTGTCGTCCCAATATACTTAATTTGTCTGCACTCATGCGATGTAGGCTTTTTCCATACGACACATTGACAAAAAAACACGAAAATCATATTAGTATAGAGCATTATACAGCATGCGCATCTGTTTGCAGGAAAGACATTGAGAAAGTAGAAGGCGTTGTGCAGCACAGGTGGAAAAAGTAGAGCTGGCAATAGTGGAAACATGGGACGCTCTTCAGCAAAGCTGTCTCGATGTATCCGGTAGTCCGAACCAGTGTCCGAACCAGCTGTAGCCATGAAGCAATTCGCTACTTTTTGGATTCGAAACCATGGGCTGTAAACCCGACGTGGAACAAATCTGCAGCGACCGGATGTGTTAATGCAGTGTAGGCTTTGGGTAGCGTTGGGGGCCAACGGGCCAACCGCGGTTCTTCGAAAGAAACCGTAGATGAGTAGTAATTCTGATCTGTAGACCCGGACAACATACTGCCATGGCGTGTAGTCTTGTATGTCAAGGAACGGCTCTTCGTCAAACATGAACTCTCAACATACTTCTCCGTTTTGAGTTTTGTCTGTCCAAACTTGGACGATGGCACTTCAGTGCTGCAGAATGGCGAAGAGGAAACCTGAATATGTACGAAACAGGTTCAATATCATGTTGAACCAACACCTTCCAAATTGGGAGCGCAAGCCGAAATCTGATTGGAATGGCTTGAGAACCCTTATTGAACGCTGTTTGCTAAAATTGGTTGTTGTTTGGGTTGGCTTGATGAACTTGAATTTGTTTTGATCTCACTGGACCCCAACACAGGGCTATCTTGACGAAGCCATCCCCCAACTACCCTAAACCCTAAACCCTACACTGGTTCATTCATAGCGAAGTTCGGGCTGCAGGTCTGGTCCCTGATAAGTTTTACCGGCATGGGCTGCGCTGCATTGGCCGCCTGGCTCGGATTTAACCCTAAAGCCCTAAACCCTGAACCCTAAACCAAACCGTAGTGTCGTGGTACACTCTTCTGAGTACCCTAATTTGTGGTCTATAGGATGCTATGATAAGAAGCCATATAGTGGTAGCAAAAAAGTCTACGCTCGAGGTAGGCCATGGGTTTAATCTTCAGGATTCCGGCTTGGCGGTGTAAGGCTGACGGTTTTTGGTATGGGTGCAGAACTCAGGATTCAAAGTTTAGGGTTCAGGTCTTACAGGGTTTGTAACTAGGTTGTAGATCGAACAGTGACTAAACCCTAAGGGAGAAAAAGGGCCGACAAACAAACAAATTCAAGCGTCTCAGAAACCCCAGGCGCACGCTATTCAATCGAGCCCTCCCGATGGTGAGATGTGAATGCCAGACAACGACTAGCTGTAGGGTTTAGGGTTTAAACTGATATAGAAGCCTAAATAATAGTCTTAGGGTTCCTTCTTCTAAACATCTTATGAAGAGGCCCAAAACCCTATTCTACTTATTCAGGCCCCTAGGCTAGCTTACCTGTGACCGGTCTAGCGGGTAAGCTTCAACCCTGAGCCGGCTTCCGTGATGCACAAGGCTTTGGACCCTAAGCCCTAAGCCCTAAACCCTAAACCCTAAACCCTAAACCCTAAACCCGATTCGACCCTAGCTCTGAGCCTTGAATGTTGAAACTATGAGCCCTACCTTAACCTACCAAAACCTACTGTTTTTAGGGTTTAGGGTTCAGGGTTTAGGGTTTAGGGTTGTAGGTTCTCACTACAAACCCTGAATATGGGATTTATAGGGACCCTATGAAAAAGTTTGTTTAAGATAAAGTTCCAAAGCCCCATCGCTCTACACTTTCCACCCGGAACCCGGGACGAACAAACCCTAAGTTAAGTCCAAGCCACTTGAGATTTAAACCGCTAGACCCTAAACTAATCCCCTATGCCCAAGCCAAGCCACTCGAGACTTAAGTCCCTAAGCCCTGAACCCTAAACCCTGACTCCCAGACCCCTGAGCCCTCAACCCCAAAGCACCGCTAGACCCTAAACCCTAGACCCTAAACCCTAAACCCCAAACCCTAAACCCTAACCCTATACCCCAAAGCCCAGACCGCTAGACCCAGGTGCTCACCGCCGGGCTTTTGGGAGGTGGTGCTTCGAGTTGCGGAGCCGAGTTTCGATGGCTGTTGAGGGTTTCTACCTAATGCAGGGGCCTTAACAGTTAGAATAGGATTTTAGGGGTTCCTTATTTTACTGCAATTTCTGATATAATATACTAGAATAGGGTATTAGGGGTTCCTTAATTTACTGCAATTTCTGATATGATATACTGGTTATTCTAATTATTAAGGCCCCTACATTATAGTCTCCATTGTAGTTCCTGTCTTGGTTTTAACCAAGTTTATAGCGAGGATCCTATAAGGCTATAAGGCAACACCGGAAAGCAACTACAATGGGGACTATAGGTACAAGGGTTTATATACGGACTGCTAAAAGACTTCTTTGCGGGTTGTTGGGTTTTGGGCCTAATTGGTGCTTGGGGTTCAGGGGGTTTGCGGTTCAGGGTTTCAGGGTTCCTTTAGCGCTTCGGGGGTTGCAGAGTTGAGGTGAGGGTGCTGAGGGGGGTTGGGTTTGGGGTTTGGGATTTAGGGCTGGCCAAAAGCCTAACCGGGCGGAGTTAAGGCTTTAGGGGCTACTGTCCCTCAACGAAGCCGTATGGCACAAGTCTGGCACCCGCGTAGGACCGCGTAGGACAGCCACGCATGTCTGCAAACATCTTGCAAAAATCTCCCCGGATCATAATTGTGTAAACCGCCCACAGAACCTGTTATGTCCCACGAGCCCTGAACCCTGTAAGTTCTACAAACCCTAAAAGTCCATGTGCCCAAACAGTTTATACTTAGGCCCAAGTACCTATATAGGGCCTACTTTAAGGCCAAAGTATATACTATTTGGGTACATGGACCCTCCTTAAATCCTAAACCCTAAACCCTAAACCCTACAAAACACAAGGCCTTGTTTGTGGCTCACTCTACGCCGCGCTGTGCTTCGGTGGTGCACAGGCCGATCCCGCTGTTCTCGTCTCCGGGGTTTTCAGGCGTTTAGGGTTTGGGTTCAGGGTTTAGGGTTTAGGGTTCAGGGTTTAGGGTTTAGGGTTTAGGGTTTCGGGGTTTATGGTTTAGGGTTTAGGGCTCATGCCCCCCCCCCAAAAAAAAAAGATTGGGAGCGTTTGTCCCAAGGCTGCACCAAGTATATAGACCTACTCGGGCACACCAGCTATCTGCACTGAATATGTGCGCTGAGCTGGTTCCGGATTCATGTCAAACAAACATATCATCTCAAGGTGCAAGTACCTATAGTATCCATTGTAGTTCTTTTCTGGTTCAACCAGTGTAGTTAGGATCCGATCCTATAAGAGAACCCCAAACAGGAAGTACAATGGAGACCATAGGTATGTAGCTGATCTCTACTGGCTGGAGAGAGCTTCCCATACTCATAAACCCCAAGCCCTAAACACCAAACCCTAAATCCATAACCCAAGCATGATGGAACCCTATAGGGCTGAAAAGTCCAGAGCCCAAAGCCACAGAGGCTATAAACTTTAAATTCTAAGAGAGTCAGTAGCCATGGGGCCGAACGTTTAGGGTTTAGGATTTAGGGTTTGGGGTTCATAGAAATTGTTAGGGGTTTGTGTGCCAATAACGTTTGGACCGCAAGTTTTGAGCAGGTTTTCCTTTCTAAACCTGGTTTTGGAATTGGTGGGCCGGGGGAGGGGCTCGGAGCTGGGCTGAGCTGGTGGCAGGCGGGGCGGCTTGTGCTGGGCTGTCGCGGGTGGGTTGACTAGCTTAACCCTGAAACGGAAATTGGTTTATAGAAATTGTGTCCCGACCGGAAACAAAATAGGCTGCCGGATGGCCGACAGCAACAGGCAATTTCTATTCTTTCTTGAGGATTTAGGGCTTGCGGGCTTAGGACTGAGGGTTTTGGGTTTAGGATTTCGGGTTTAGGATTAAGCGCTTATACCACGAGAGGTATCTAACCTTGGGACCTAACTAAGCCCTACATTAACGCAGATTAACCTACTTGCTCTTGAAGGGCTTGTAAGTATCAGGACATCAAACCTGAACAGGTAGGTCTGATAGGGTTCAGATACATCCTTGAGTAGGCATATTGGAGGTTCATGGGACTTAGTAAGTACAGTTATAAGTACCTTAATTGGGGTTATAAGTAATTATAAGTATAGTTACCTTATGTATAACCCCAGTTACTAAGTCCCATGCCTCTGAGTAGGGTTCCTCCATCTACAGCAGAAGCCCAAAAGTTGGAAACCCAATAGCTTCAATCCTGAAGTGCAATGTAAAAGGAGCCCCAGCACTGATTGTCCTTAATCCGGTTTCCGACTTTTTGGGGTTTACTATATGGTGATTTAAGGAATGTCTCGTTTGGATGCCATGGGTTCCAGGGTTCCGATCGATCTTTTGGGTGAGGTTCTCTCGAACCCCGGGGTCCATGTAACGTAAAATTAGAATGTGGTTTTGGGGGTTCCTTATTATAATTATAGTATAATATACCCGAAACTTCATTCTCATTATGAAGGCCCCTACATTACCCAAATCGAAGACCCCCTAGATTAGCTAGAAAGTAGAACCCCCGATTGGGATACTACTAAGGCTACTAAACGGTACTATTTATGGGAACCCTTTATTGTAAGGGATCTGTTTTGTGGATCGTTTTAGGGGTCTGGGAATGGTAGCACTTTACTCTAGATGCCGATTCAGAGCATACAAGTTTGGGCAAGTTTGGAACCTCAAGCCCAACACAAGAGGAGTCCAACCCAAATACGTAGGAGGATTTTTGAAACCAAGGACCATTCAGAGTATAGCACTCGCGATAGAAAACCCTACTATTTACTTTTTGGGTTCTTGGACCCTCTAGCAAGTGCCCTGATGCCAGCCAGGCTGGTACGAGTGTGCTCGGCGTGCTTGCAGCTGGATGGTGAGCCTTGTGTTGGAGCCGTATAAGAAGCACTTTTCGCCTTGAATCCCAATGCTCAAGCCCATAAACCTGAAACCCAAAGCCCCCAAACCCCGAGAAGCTCTGCAATGTTGAGCTTGGGTTTGAGGGTTTTGGGGTTTTGGATGGCTTCGAGTCTAGCCCGAAGAATCGTCGGTTAAGACTGGTGACAATAGAAGCCACCAGTCCTCTCCGGAGACCCTAAATTACCTACATGGTAGAGAAATCAGGGTTTCGTTTCTGATTTCTTAAACCCTAAATAGTATCCGATAAATAAGAAAGAAAACACTCGAAGACCCTCACCGCAGCCCGAAGCCCTTACATACACGTATCTAGCACCCTGAAACCTAAAGCTGTTTCAGTATAAGTATAAGCATAATTCTATGGGTCCCTTTTTGAAACTTACCAGAAAGTGCGGCACTCTCATAACAAGGACCCCCAAAACGGACCCTAGTTTAGGGAACTTCCCATATAAGCCATACACCCCGAGAGCCATAAACCCTAAACCCTCAACCCTATAAGTATCCCTCAACCTGAAAGCCTATCAGCATATATGCCGTACATCCCAAGAGGCTTCTCAGTGCCAGGACTTGGCGGGGCCAGCATGGCTCTGCGCGAGCACTGGGGCGTGCGCAGCGCTAAGTGGACGACCTGTCTCGAGTTTCTGGATCTAAGGGCTTAGCGTTTAGGTAACCTTTAACCCTTTTCGGGCATCGCAATAAGCCCTATATACTTCCGAGGGTTAGCCTTGCATTTTTCAAGGCATACTGGACAGGTAAGTCATGGTATTTAGCCCTAAACCGTAAACCCTAAACCCTTAACCCTAAACCCTAAACCCTGAACCCTGAACCCTGAACCCTAGCTCGGGGTTTCGGGGTGTTGGTTCGGTCTTCTGAGGCAAAGCATCTTTCCCCAACCCTCCACAGGGTTTGGAGTTGATTTCTTTTGATTTTGGGTTTAGGCTTTAGGCTTTAGGCTTTAGGGTTTAGGGTTTAGGTTTAGGGTTTAGGGTTAAGGGTTTAGGCTTTAGGGCATGAAGGTCCATGTATCCATGTAGAATATACTGGGCCTTAAGGAGTTCATTTTAGGGGCAAAGTAGAAACTACATGCCTCAGCCCCCCGAAACCCCGTCCAGACTTCAAAGACCGACATAGAATCCTGAGTAAGTAGTACCAGGGGTTTACGGTTTAGGGTTTAGGGCTTGGGGTTTAGGGATGGACAAACTTCTGCATGACCCAAGTATAGTATAGTACCATAAATCCCATAGTTTAGGTACATAAGGTCATGCAGGCTTTTGTCCATCAACCGTAGTACGAGTCTTCAGGGTTCCTCCTTTTTGTTCTATTTCAATATACCCAAACCCTCAACCCTAAACCCTAAACCCTAAACCCTATACCCTAAACCCTACCCAAACCCTACCCAAACCCTAAACTGCCCAACACGACAGTACTACAATAAGCCTTGGAATCCTTTTCTAAACAGCACAAGGCCTGCGCTCATGATTCAGAATCTCTTCCTCTCGGCCTTGATCTCAGATTCGGTCCAGTTCAGCTCGTCGTTGCGGGTTTAGGGTTTAGGGGTTTAGGGTTTAGGATCTTTAAGCTTTTTGTGGGGGCTTCAGGCTCTCAGGGCTTCAATTGCACTTCTAGGGTTTAAGGGTTTAGGGTTTAGGGCTTCCGGGTCTCAGCGTTTAGGGCCGTAGGTCTGCAGCATTGGTCATTATGGTTATGCTCTGATATTAATAATTACTGGAGTACGATAAACCCAAAACCCTAAACCCTAAACCCTACTACGATAAATACCACAACATCGCTCTGGGGGGTTGGCGGTTCTCTTGTCCTCCAGCGAGGTTTCGGAGCTTCCCGTGGTTGAACTTCGGGTTCAGGTTCAGGGTTTAGGCTCCCTGGTCTAATATACCCTTACAACTTTCGATACATTGTAATATAATTCCTGAACCCTGAGCCCAAAACCCCTAAACCCCGAACCCCTAAATCCTTAATAAAGTTTTGGAGTCGAAAACATAAACCTGAAAGCCTATCATAGGGAGACACAGGGGTCGGACGAGTGGGTCGCGCCATTCGAGATACGCTAGGCTCCTTATAGAGTTTGGGTTTAGGGTTTAGGCACTGTTTAGGGTTTTAGGGTTTAGGGTTTAGGGTAAACCCCAGAAAGTTGGAAACCGGATTAAGGACAAATCGTGCCGGGATTCCTTATACATGACTCCTAAGGATTGAGGCTAGTGGGTTTCCAACTTTTGGGGTTTCTACTATACGATTTAAGGATTTAGGGTTTGGGGTTTAGGACGTACCTCTATTCTATAAAGCCCTGAACCCTTGAAGGGTACTAGTGTTTTGATTTAGTAGCGTTACCTTTAGAGGTTTAGGGAAGGTGAACTTTACACAATAGTCTCCGTTGTAGTTCATGTTTGGTTTAACCAATTTTATAGTTAGGGGCCTTTGAGGTGACCCCCACAAGGAACAACAATTGCGACTTGAACTACTATAACTACTTGAAGCTCGTATGCTTTGAGGCTCGTGCCCTTGAATATCGGCAGCTTCGGGGTAAGTCTTTAAAGGCTTCTGCTGAGCTTCTATATATGGCGCTGCAACCCCAAACCCGGTCAACGCGATCAGGTTGAGGGCCCCTAAACCCTAATCTCTAAACTCTAAGCCCTAAACCCTAAACCCTAAACCCTAAACCCTAAACCCCAAACCCTAAACCCTAAACCCTAAACCCTGCAACCCCAAACCCCAAAACTGGTCAAGCCCGAGAACCCTAAAACTTTTGCCGCCCTGAAACCTACGTCCAAAGCCGAAAAGCAAGAGCCAGATGGCCCGACATCTCACCTGAAAAGTACATAAAATAAACCCTAAACCCTAAACCCACTGAGCCACACCTTTTAGCTTCTCACTCGAGGCCTCATTTTTCAGGAACGGCGGTTTACGGTTTAGGGTTTAGGGTAGGTAGAGGGAGACTCGCTGTCGGTGCCACCTTGGCAAGGCTGTCGTGGTACAGCGTGGCGGCAGAGGCGATGGCTGTTGGCATCGTGCGAAGTTGGCAAAGCATCTGCTGTGCTGAATCCTACTAGCAGCCATGTTGTCGTTGATGGAGCGACCCAATGTCAGCAATGTTTTTTTTTCTGCGGCAGTTGACATGCTTGCACCCGAAGGTTTACTTTAAGGAATTGAGAAGCCCGGCCATAATCTGAGCCAAGCCGCCGTTGCATTCCCGTACGTGGTGCATTACACACACACCCTTTAACACGTTGGTGGGTCTTAACCCTAAACCCTAAACCCTAAACCCTTGGTTGAGTTGTCAGAACAGCAGCTTCGGGCTGTAACGATCAAGAACGTCGTATGTTTGCTTCGCTCTTCTTAGTTTTCGTTCTATGTCCGCAGAGGATAGTTAGCTTTGACTTATCTGCATTAGGAGCCGTAGCATAGGTACAGTCCTCACCTGGCGTTCTGCATGCTTCGCAGAATGCGTTATTCAGCATGCATGTAAACATGTTTTGGTAAGAAATCCCATGTTGTCATTTCCCAGGCCTAAACCCTAACCCCACATCATACTTACCATAGTTGTGCGTGAGAGGGTGACATGACAAGGTGCAACTGCTGTCCTACTGCCACCACCTCTGTCGGACATGCAAAAATCTGCGTTCCCCGCAGTGCTACGTAGCTTCGGATCTTGTAAAGTTTGTATGGAAGTCCGACCCATACTGGAGTGCGAAGCCTTGGCGCAAGCATATGCCCCGAAACCTGCTATGTAGATAACGCCCGGTGATCTTTGCCATGTCCAAACCAATAGTCTGGTAAAACCCTAGAAGCCCTAAACTCTAAAACCCTCTCCCACTGATCACTAAACGCACCTGCAGGCACTTTCTTCAGTTCCCTTGTCCAGCACCATCCAGAAAAGTCAGGATGTTGCATGAACTGCCGGTGACCTCGTGCTGTCGACGCCCGAGACTCTGCAAACGGATCACTTTCTTGGATTTACGATGACACACCTCATGATACAGGCAAGAGTGGGGCGAAACATTTCCTGCCCTCCCACCGGCTGTGAAGTGCTCTTACTCCTCACGGCGGCTCTTTCTTTGTGATCTGCGCGATTTGTCCGAGCTTGCACACATGAAGTGCACGGTTCAAGGCCTGTGGAACAAGCCTGGAGACATTCCAAGTTGTTCAGACTTGGCTCCGAAGAAGTTGTGGGACGGAACGCTCTCGTCGCTCAACGGGCTCTCGAGGAGAGTTTCAGTGATGTGGTAGGGCCCAGATCTCATTCGGTTTAGCCCAGGGCACTGTCCAGCGAAGCTGCAGACTACTTCAGTGACATGTAACGGTCTCGTGGTAGCCTGAGCCCTAGACCTTCATGGTAGTTAGATAGGATTGCCCATAACCCTAAACCCTAAACCCTAAACCTTTTGGGGGTTCCTTTCTTATAATTAGAGTATACCTGAGGCCCTCGAGTTGCTTAAAGCCTTGCCTCGACCTTTAAGTCTTAACCATGGCAGCACTTTTCCTAAAGCTTAAACCATAGAGGGTTTTGGGTTTTAGGGTTTAGGGTTTAGGGGACCTTGCGACGTCAACCCAGGACCGAAAACTCGCAACTCAGACCTGAATCCTAAGCCCTCGTGTGAACCTGGCCCCAGACTGAGCCGCAAACCCCAATCCCTATGCCAAGATGAACCTTAAAACCTACTAACCTACGTACACCCTAAATTCGAAACCCTAAATTCGAAACCCTAAATTCGAAACCCTAAATTCCCTAAACCCTAAATCCCTACTATAGTGAATCCTAAACCCTAAGTTCGAAACCCTAAATTCCCTAAACCCTAAATCCCTACTACAGTGAATCCTAAACCACGAAGGCCCAGAGAACGCTGTGCAGGTCGGAAGCACCGGTGTCTCCTCTTGATGTTCGCAGCAGGACCGCTGTGCCGACCGGGGAGTTCTGGGCAACAGGCGCTGTCCCTAAGGGTTTAGGGTTTAGGGTTTAGGGTTTAGGGTTTAGGGTTTAGGGTTTAGTCCCTATATAGGTCTTTTGGGGCCAAAGTATCTACTATTTGGGTACATGGACCCTTAGGGTGCAGAGTATTTTGGACGGTTGTATTCAGGGATTGTATTTGCCCCTTGGCCGCCGGTCTAAGAATGTATGGTTATGGTGATTTAAAACTTGCAATAGGCTTTAAACCGAGCACCGGAGACAGGTTACAGTTGTGCGTCATCCACGCGAAGAGCATTGTCACATGCTTCACCATCTGAGGGCCCAGTATCCCTGATGTAAGAAAGTTAGCTTAAGGTACAGGGGCCTGAATTTTCTGATTAAGTAAAGGTATATTCTTTAATTAAGTTGTATTGGGGGCCATACAATTCAGAGCCCCTGAACCGTAAACCCTCAACCATACAGTTGAAATCTTGAACCCTAAACCGAAGCCATCCTAAATCCTAAACTGAGACCCTAAACCTTAAACCTCAACCGTAAGCCCTAGACCCTGAACCCAAACCTAGTAGTAGAGTAGGTAACCTTGAACTTTTCTAGGGTACTACAACTATATCACAATCCCATATAATCCCAAAGGCTAACCTGTAAAATCCCTAGGACCTAAACCCTAAACCCTAAGCACTAATAGACCCTAAACCCTAAACCCTAAGGCGCCTGAACCCTGAACCCCGAAACCCTAAACCCCCAAGCCTTAAAACCCTGTAGCCTTACCAGGAACGACCATCCTTGAGCTGTCCTGGCAGTTTGCGAGACTCCGACGTGGTTGCTCAGGGTTGCGGATTTTTCAGGGTTTAGGGTTTAGGATTCGCGGTTTAGGGCTTTGAGGATGTCTTACAGGTTTGGAATCAGGGTTTAGGCTTTGGGGCTTACGGCTCAGGGTTCAGAAAGGGTGATTTGGTTTATCGGGCACTGATCGTGCTATTTGGGGCTTGAGGGTTTGGGGCTTTAACTAGCCTTCCAAGTCGGTTTAGGGCTAAACCCCAAACCCTAAACCCTAAACCCTAAACTCTAAACCCTAAACCCTAAACCCTAAAACCCTACATTGCCGTAGCTTGCCAGGCCCTTTCTTCTCTTGCTGCAGCTCCTGGCATCGCTGGGAGCTCCTTGGTGGAACTTACGCAAGCTTCATACAGTAGTACAAGGTACTGTAAGGGATACTAGAAGGGTACTATAAGGAATACGATGAGGAGCTTGAGCCCAGCCATTTTTACAGGGTGTAGGGCTTGAGGGTTTCAATCTCGAAATTTCCCAAAGCATTTAGTGCTCTTTTTTTTCGAATTCATTCACGTATCTGTGCCCGGTTGCTGCTGCTGCAGTTACAGAAGCAATTCATCGTATCATTATACGACCACTACTACGACCACTACGACGGCCAATACTGCTACGACGACGAAGACGACGATGACGCCGACGACTACTACTCCTACTACTCATATGGGGAATAGGAGGAAATGGTTGTCCCCCAGAAGGCCCTATGCATGAGTGAAGCCAGATCAGGAGTCTTTTGAAGACCGTCTGGCACGGTTCAAATGGTTCAGGATTTAGGGTTTAGGGTTTACGTTTCGTTTGCTCGGTTTGATCGTAGATGCGGCGTGCTCGCAGAATCGGACGGTTGAGGATGTGGGAAAAGATTTTGGACCTTCGATTCAAAGGACCCGGCATCACCTGTAGAAACAGGCATGGCCGTGGGCATAGAATACTGGCACGCCTCGATTTGTTTTCACGTGGTGGGAGTTTGAGCAGCCCCAAGTCATACACCCTAAGCACGCTGTGGAAAAAGGCCTTCAACAAAAACCTCAATGCTCTCCGACAGATGCCAGGTTGACAAAGAATCGGGCAGCAACCGTTGGTCGCATCTTGTGGGTCATGGTGGACGGCGACCTTCGCATGTAATGCTTCCAACCCCAAACGCCTCAAACCCTCCAGAAACCCGTAACATTCTGAGAGTTGACTCTAACTGTAAAGTAGGAGCCAGAACGTTTGAACATACTGGTCCTCATGCCGTACAGGGCATCCCAGCTCCAATCATCCTAAACCCATCATTGCCTAAACCCGAAACATTACATCCTACCCTAAGCCCTAAACCCGCAAGCCCTGTACCACTAGATTCTACATCCATGCTTCACGTTCTGGAGTCAAAGGCCCTAAATCCTAAACCCCTATAAGACCTTAACCTAAACCGAAACCCTTAAACCCCTAAGCCTAAACCCTAAACCCCTAAAAACCCTAAGCCCTAAACCCCTAAACCCTAAACCCCAAACCCCTAAACCCCCAAACCCCTAAACCCTATAAAAGCCCACTGTAAGGCCCATGTCTTCGGTCGCCTCCAGCGGCTTTGTCTCGGAGAGGTTCGCGTGTTTGGGGTTTCGAGGGTTTAATATAGGGGCCTTAACAATTAGAATAGGGTTTGGGGGTATATTATACTATATCTATAATAAAGAACCCCCCAAAACCCCATTCTTATTATTAAGCCCCCTACATTATATAGAGCTTCTGCGTACCAGGGTTCAGGGCTGGAACGTTTAAAAGTTTGTTCCCGAGGTCTCGGGAACATAGCGTGGGGACATTTCCGATCCCGTTGGATGTTGTGAGGGCCTTTAAGGTTTTGGAGTTCTTCGGGTTTTCTGATCAACTTAGTAAATATAGGTTGCAAACACGGTTCCCCGAAACCCTAAAGCCTAAACCCTACACGGTTGCACGTGGGGCACTCCCAATCCAGCGGTCTACGAAACACCTTCTATGAGACTCACACAGTCCCTCTTTAATCTTTCCAGTGTACCCCGAGGGTTTAGGGTTTATAGGGTTTAGGGGGTTTAGGGTTTAGGCAAACCCTAAAAACCCACAAACTCCATAAAACCCTACACCCTCAACCCTAAACCCCCTAAACCTTGTTTTTAGTGGTCATGGAGCCCGAGTCAAGTCTTAACAGCACTTCAGAGTTCCAGTCCCTAAGGGTCCATGTACCCAAATAGTATATACTTAGGCCCCA